ACAATGGCTCACCAGAGTAATCAGCAAAAGGGGGCGTGGTCCATGAGGTCCACCAACTTGTATAAGCCACTGAGGAACAAAATGCCACAGGGCCTATTGTCCCTGTTATGAATCTGTAGTGGGGACTAAACATCTGTCAGAAACAGCAGGATCTGGTCTATGGAGAACTGGAAATCTACATGATTTGATACCCGACCTCCCTCATGTCCCAGGGCGTGGCAAAAATAATCCCACAAGCTGCATGAGGCAACTGTTCCGCAGCAGGAGCTGCTACTGAAGCTTGTGTAGGAAAGTTTAAAAGCCTTACTGAGGAGTTTAAATCATGTGAAATGTGGCAATAAATACCTGTTCGGAGCTCATTAATATTCTTAGTCTTACTCTTGTGGAGATGAGTGTGGAAGTGTTATGGTCTTTGATAAGCTTAGAGTAACTGCAGCTAAGACAGAGACTGAAGAGAAATGATACTAAAAAACAAAGCAAACAAACAAAAATTATGGAGATGTGCCACATGTTGGCTCTTATGGTGTTGTTGAAGGACTCTACAACTAAACTGTGAGTGTGAAGTTTATAGTGATACCATCTGTCTGTTGCTGTGCAATCTGTCAAACTTATTATCTTCTGCAATTTTGAGTGGTGACCTGAGGGTGCATCAGCCTCAGTAGGAGTCACGCAAAACACAGTGGGATCAAAGTCATCTCTATTCATTCATAAACCACCACAACACACAGGAGTGCATGTGAATGCGTACACACTAAAAACGTATTTGTGACAGCAAAGCAAAAAAATAAAGGCAACTTCTCAAAGGCAGTTATCGTTCCCACAGGATTCAATAGACTTCAAATAGCTTCTCTTAACATCTTCAACCAACCATAATGCATCCTTACATACTGGATAATATGTCTGGTTCCCACATTAATCCAAACACAAGAGCCAACATGGATATTATTGTCCCAGTGCTAGCTGCTCTCAGATTATGCAAGCTTTAGTATGTCTACTGAGCTACTAAAGTCTGTAATGCTGCACAGTATCTGATGAAATACCACACTGTTCATTTACAATGCTTATAGAAGATTAACAGATTACCACGTTATCCATATGAACATGTCATATCTAGGTCATCCTATACTTCTTATCTTAATAAAACAATAAATAAAACTGGGATATAGAATAGATTTAAATAAATCAGCACTTTCAATGATGGGCTGTGCCAAAGAGCTGATGTACAAAAATAAAACAACCCTCAAATCAAATCAGAGCAGATCAAAGTATATTTCTGTTTAAATATATGTCATATAATAATATACAATATATATTATGATGAAACCATGTACAAATACTACATTAAAAGTCTTGACAAAAGTACAGGAGTAGTATTTTCAGCAACATAAACCTTCAAAGCATCAAAAATACTTATTGTGTTGAGTGTAATCATATTATATGCTGTATATATCATAATATATTACTGTGATATTAATATTATTATTATTATTACTGATGTATTAACATGTATGTAAGCAGCACTTTAATGTTAATGTTAATATTTAATGTTGTTGTTGTTGTGATTGGGCTAATTTTGACTACTTAACATTAGAGCTAAATTGACAATAATCCATTAGTTCAGTTAGAAAGTGGCAACTATTTTGATACTAGAAAGTACCATATTTTTATGAATTTTTATAAACAAATTCCTATTTCTTTGTAGTAGATAGCAGAATTTTACCTGTGAGTATTCTTTACCTGTAAGTTACTATGTAATTCATTAAAATTGTACCTCAAGGGAACAGTTATTGAATAGATGTATTTCTATCCACTGGATATATTATCCACAGATATTTCCATAAACAAATATGAGGAGTTTCAGTAATGAAGCATTTTGGTTGTGACACTCAAATTTCTCTCATACAATCAAACACATACACACACGTGAGCTTAAACCCACTCACACACCTCTGACTCAGGACACTTTCACGGCCTACACTATTCCTCCAACACACACAAGCAACGTCTTTCCTCCACTTCAATCTCCTTCTGTATCTGTCACTCACCGGCCTTCCCCTCCTCCTTCTCGGACCTCATGTCCTCCTCGGCACAGGCTCCACTCGGCTCCACTGTCAGCTGTGATGTGAGCTCTCATAGCAGGTGAAAAAAAAAAGAAAACACACACACACACACACGTATACATACAGACCAGTGCACACACCATTCAAACCAACGCACACAATGCACCACTACAGCCTGCCGCTCCCAGTCCTGCTCACTGAGGCTCCACCCAGACAGGTTACTAGGAAGTCGTCCCCTGAGAGCCACTCAGCTACATTTCCTGCTCCTTTTCTTTCTTGGTTTCTCTCTTTCTTCTGTTATGTGCCTCTCTTTCTATCCCACTTTCTGTGTACCTGTTTAGTGACACACCCTGAGGCAGCTAGGACAACTTTCACCCCACGCCCACTCCTGCTTTTCATCTTTTCCCCTAGTGTACAGCGTAGGAGGGGGAGGGGAGGGGAACACAAACTGCACCTCAGGCCTCAGGTAATGAAGCAGGTGAGTCAGTGGAGCTCTCACTCCACCTGATGGCCGACGGCTATAGCAGAGGACAGCGTGTGCAATTATGCACACCAACTGAACAGAGAACAATACACCCCTTTGTATAAAAGCTATGCACTCCCTGAGCCCACAATGCCTTTGTAGCCTACATGAGTTTACATTACTCACTTCCTGAATGTAAATGTGTGTTTTGGCCAGAGGAGGCAGGAATGTAAACTCTGAATAAAAATGCTGCTAGTGTAAACTTCAATATAAACGTCTCTAAAAATGGATCACGACAGCGGTGAAGTGAAACGAAGTTCATGCTTGTAGCCAAACTGCCTTAGCTCCACACACTGAGACCGGCTTATTAATAAGAGTTCTCCCATGTTATCTTTGACCCTGCAGGGATTTTTGCATTGACTTCTCTTCTGCCTGGTGCTGAGTAAGGACAGTCTGTGTCATGTTAAGATGGGAACTCGGATGTGCGCGGACAGAGTTAGAGAGTAAATAAGGTTAAGACTGGTCCACTTTGCCTGGCAGCGCTCTTTAGGCCTGAAACCCTAAGGCAGGTGCAGGTGTTACGAGGGGAAAAAGATAGGACAGCATGCAACTGTATTAATTCAGCCTGCAGAGCCAAACTGGATATAAACTTATAAGGGAAATTTTGGTTTATGTGCATTTGAGTAACATAACTAGCATACTAAAGCGTAAGTGTAAGCATAATTGTGTGTGTGTGTGTGT